TCCTTCAGACACTTTCAGGTAGTACTTGAATCATTCCCTCGCACCAGTCCCTCCTCTTAATCAATGTGAGATTCTAGCTAATTTTGTGAGATGAGGTAAGTACTGTATCAGAAGTTATAATTTTCCTATGCTGAAAAGATATTTCCAATAGGTACTTCTTTCCCCTTACATTTCCCACCCTTCCTCCCCACTTTCCTCTGGTGCTTACGTTTTCTGCAAACTTCAAAGTGATAGTTTGGTAGAGGAGTATAGAGGGAGTCACATGCATCACATGAGCATGTCATGTTCCTATTGGTGGAGAACTGATGCATGATGATTTGAATGAGAGACACGTTGGAATCTTTCAATTCCAATAGGGGGAGCAGAAGGGGTAAATATTTTGAAAATCCAGGTTAAAAGATATTGTTACAACAATAGAAGTCATGTGACGCTAGGAGCATGCATGACTGAGTTTCTCGAATTATTGGGGAACCCCGCGAATTTTGGAGAAGACTCTTTGTTAATATATAAGCCTGGCAAGAGAAGCCAGTAGGATTGAATGCATGATAAAACGAACAGTAGTTATGGTGAACTTCAGGTAATTTATGATTCTGTTTCGAGATAGTGTGTGTTTTGCACACATAGAGTGCAAAGTTACTGAGATAGTGAATCGCTGTGATTTATAGCGTGTATTATAAAAGTTGTTAAGTTTAAAGTGACGAGAAAAATACTGACTGTAGAATTACAATGTACTAAAAGTTTGTATCGAGGAAGAATAAACTAGTTTAATCAAGAAAGGACTTCTATTGCTGAATTTCCTCGAAAAGAATTTCTACCAGAAATTAACAAACAAGCAGATATGTAACAAACTGGTGTCAGAGAGTGGGACGAAAAAAAAAAGATGGAAACGAGAATTGGCAAATCAAACTACAGCTTAGCACATTTGATGGCAGCAATAGAAGAACAGCAAAAGAAACAAGAATAATGAGAAAAGAAACAAGAAGAGAGATTACAGCAGTTGTTGGAGGAAAAAGAAACAAGAAGAACGAGAAAATAAACAAGAAGAGAGGCTACAGCAGTGGTTGGAGGAGAAAGAAAATAAATAAAAAGAGAGTCTACAGCAGTGGTTATAGGAGAGAGAAAATAAACTACAAGAGAGACTACAGCAGTGGTTGGAGGAGAAAGAAAATAAATAAAAAGAGAGACTACATCAGTGGTTGGAGGAGAGAGAAAATAAACAAGAAGAGAGTCTACAGCAGTGGTTACAGGAGAGAGAAAATAAACTGCAAGAGAGACTACAGCAGTGGTTGGAGGAGAAAGAAAATAAAGAAGAAGAGAGACTATAGCAGTGGCAAGAAAACCAGCACCAGTGTCAACTGGAACAAGAAA